GCGGCACACCTCGGATCTCCATAGTCACCGGCGTGACAACTGCGAGTTTCGATTAAGAATTCGATGATAGAAAAACGCTTTTCTGTGTTATTGTTGCCAAGGTACGAGATTATGCAGAATCACATATATTAGTTTAATTTCGTTACATATTCGGCATGTGTGAAGATGCTTTAAAAGCCTGTATTTTATTGACGTCTGTATTTGATGTAATTGAAGCTTACCTATTCTTTGTACGATTAGCCATTTTGAGAATTTTATTTGAGTTCGATTTCAGCTGCATGAAGATTAAAGTTATATTCGACCGATACAAACCTAAAATAAAATTATACAAACAGTGTTTAAATCTAGACTGTCGCTAAGAAATTTGATATAAATCCGTTGATTAATTTAGCAGGTATAACATGTGCGCATATGTACAGCCATAATGTCCATGCTACATATTCATATCTTGCACTTCATTTTTTTTTCAGTGGCTTCTCCAGCCCATTCAGAGCCCAGGCCTCTTATTTAGTTCAGTAATCTTTTTTCACACATGGCAGGACTCCTTGGACGAGTGATCAGCCCGTTACAAGGCCGCTACCTAAACACATGGCAACACAAACACAGAATAAACACATACACAAAATATCCATACCTTGAGTAGGATTCGAACCCACTATTCCAGCATCGGAGCGAGCGAAGATCATGCCTTATACCGCGCTGCTGCTGCTTCTTGCACTTTGTATAAAGAAATAATTAAGACACAATTGGTACAGTAACTAATATTCAGTTTTTCCTGGTGAGCTACATCGCAGTGCTGTGTGCTGCTTCCTCTCTGATGATTGAATTGTTTCCTCTCCTGTTCGCGAGTTAATAGCAAGACGCATTGTGTATCCTATAATGCTATATACTAATAAATTCAGTAAAATTAAATTTTAATGCAGTTTTCGATGCTGCGGTGTGATAAAAGTTTCCCCCTTATGTCCTTAATCTCATCGATCGTCCTCTCGCCCTTACGTTGGGCTCCACTTAATCCCTTGTAACCGTCCCTCCTCCTTTCCGCCTGTGGCTCCCTCTGAAAAGTAGTGCAGGGAGTGGGAGTCGATGGCGATCGGCCCCTCTGCTCCGATGACTACTTTGACGCTGCCTTAGCTGGTGTTGCCGCTGCTGAAGTTGCTAGGTCGTAGCTGGTTTCGGTTTGACCCGGCTCCACCGCTTCTTCCTTCAGTTGAGATTAGGGGGGTTGGATTTCAGGATTGGATCTGATAGTATGGGCGCCAGCAAACAGCTAGCGACTGTTTACGATTCATTGTAAAGAAGGGAAGAAGTGAGCATGTGAAAGCTGACGGTGGGTTTGACTAGCTAGTGGAGATAAGTCTCTCTTCAGGTCGGATACGGGTCAGGCTCGGACAAGTGAGTGTGAAGCACCTCTAATCAACACAGTTCACTGTACCAACACAACACTTTATTGTTGTTCTTCTTAGAGACACTCGGCTGCGTAAATTCTCACAATCTGATTTAGTTTCAGCTTACAGCAGCTGGGGTTACACTTGCACAAAAATGCACTCGATCAGCTCGCCAAATTCTTTTGTGCCGCGCTCTTGTTGACTAAGCTAAATCTCAATATGAGTCGTTATGAGAGCAAATTGTACTTCTTAGAATTATCTTTTCTAGACCGGAACAGCTGATTCCTTGAAATAGTTCCTCAATTATCCTCACGCGGCTGAGTGAACCCCGTTCCAGACCTACTACCTCTCAGAAAATTTGGCAGTGCCGGAAATCGAACCCGGACCTCTGGATCTGTAGCCAGGAACTCTGACCATTAGACCACATGCGGTGGCTGAAAGCGATATAATTCTTATTTCCTATTGGCCGCCTATTGGAAATTCTTGCATTTGTTTTTCTGGCGACATCTGTTCACGCAACCACGGAATCAGAAAATAAATTCAGTATGTTTGTCAGGTATGGTAATGTCATTAGGACACTGATTGTGGTTACGTGTGATGAGTGGGTGAAAAATGTTGTATAGCAATTCATTCGTTTGCGAAGTGGTTTCCCGCCTGTCACACTCGGTACCTTACTCGCGGTTGCGGTCGCTCCACAACTGTCGTTCTCCGATCCGAGAGTAACCAGGTAACGTACGCAAGAGTTCTCCTGCTCTTTAGCAATACACGTAGGAGAGAGTCGCATTCAGAACCTGTCTTCCTTGTTCACTAACTACAAATTCAAATATTGTCTTAACCCATACCTAATTTGTTTACATCAGAAGTCACTTGCCAGAAGATTAAGTATGTGCACATGTAGGTAAATTGTCAGGTACAACAAACGTCAGGCTATACACAGGTCTCTGTTGCCTTAATGTTAACCTCATCCTTACTTGTACACGTGATCTCAATCCATAAGATTGTCACATGTAAGGGGATTGTTGCTTGACTTATAAGACGGGTTTTGGATTTGATGAGTGGATTTATTGACATCTCATACACACAGCACGGTACTACAGGCAATGCAGCACTGTCGCCGATCTACACACTTTACTGTTCACCGTTACATACGCACTAGAGTTCTCACCCTTCACTAATCTATCTTGGCAACGGATTTATAATTGTCTGTCAGTTCAAATCATACATGAAGTCTTCTTTTCACAACCTAATTCCTTTCTTGCTATTATTCTGTAGGTGCCAGTTCCGAAGACTCGACTCAGTTCAACGTCTCTGCTCCCAAGCTCATATCCTGGAAGGCTGGTTCCTCGAAACTGAACTAACTCTTCTCAACTGAAATCTTCTTTATAACAACTTTGCACGGACACGCAGAAAACACAGTCTCTCTATTGTTTAGAGGGCGTGTGCAGAGCTCTGTTGCATAGCAACGGAAGTTACTCGATTGTTGCTCCCGTATTCGTTGCCGCGGGAATGTGTTTACCGAGCAGTTGCCCAGCAATGGACGTCTCCTCTACGTTTATTATTCCTTCAGAGCGCTATGTCACGATATGTACGTACATACATGCATGCATAGTCATTTGCATGAAGCAATCACTGTGATCTTGAAACAATTCAGGTAACTACAAATTTCCCCACCAGGATTTGAACCCGTGAGGTTGCCAACAGATGAGCTCACATGTTCACTGTGCGTCTATTCATACGACATAAATGCATTTATTTACGTTATAAGCGGCATTTGTGGTATCCTTGTATAAGATGAGGCCCGATAAATGCGTTCTGTCTGAAGATGTGCACAGGAAATGAACTGTTAAAAGATGGGGAATCGAATTTACGTGCGGGGAAATTGGCTATTCGACGATAGCGAGCGAGGGTCTTGGCTCGAAGCTAGCGTTTCAGCAATTCAACATATATTCCGCTGCCGCGAAACAAGACAAGCAGATTGCATGTGTCTTACGGACCCCTGCAGAATTTAATCGACTAAAGTTTCGAGAGAAAATTGGAAGTTAATCGCCAGGCTGTGTTTTTGAATAACAACTGAATAGATCCCATTCTCTTCTTACCCTTCCACATGTGGTGGAAGAAGACACATGCAGGGGAGTTCGTGTCCACACGTATGTCTGTCCGCATGTTAACATCCCGAAACTACGCGGCGAATTTCGATGGGTCTGCACTAAACAAATCACATTGAGTTTTTTGTGTGGAATGGCAAACCATAGAATTTAATATAAACTGTTCAATATTTATGTAACCTTACACGTCACGGTAGCCGAGCGGTCTGAGGCATAAACTGTCTTCGGTCTCTCGGAAGCCGGGATCGTGGGTTCGAATCCCACACAAGGCATGGATGTTTGGTGTGTGTATGCATTTATTCTGTGTTTATGTTGTCCTATGTTTGGGTAGAGGCCTTGCGACGAGCTAATCACACGACCTAGGAGTTCCACCGTCTGTAAAAATGATCAATGAAGCTGAGAAATCAGCCCTGTGCTCCAAACTGGGAGCGAGAGGAGGAAAAATAAACACGTCTCTACCCTTCTGCGCCATCTTCAGAGGTTCAGTAGTAAAAGGCATTTGCATTAAAATTGCTGTAGACCATACTATAACCACTCATTATACAGTCATAAATACGTATTAAAGTAAGTTAAAATTGTTGGTGCTTTTACATATTATCACAAAGTGATTTCTTTTTGTATGTTGTATCTTATGATTAATACGTTGTTTCTCATAAATTTTCTTCGCTCTACTTGCAGACAGTTTGCAACTGCCTTCCTTCAGGTTTGAGCCATGCCTAGACCTCGCAGTGATTATACGAGTAACTGCCCCAGTAAGTTGCAGGAAAAGTAACTGTATACAGAGAATTCACTAGACTATGGGACAGAAGTGCTTATTGAACATGTGCAGTGCCATTGTTATGATATTACATCGAAAAACATCGCATGCTTCTCAGTAGCAGTGGATGACGATATACAGAGTGTCCAGATGAAAGGTATCCAAAATAAAATCATATCTCAGAAAGAGTTTATTATACCCAGTGATGGGTTCCACCATTACAAAAGGAAACTATTTAAAGGTTTTTCTGCTATATAACTTTCTCAATAATTTTCAGTATGGGCTCCCTTGGTGGCACGAAAAATATGCAGTCTTGAAACATGTTTGGTGTTACCGTAGCCACAGCGTCCCTTATGCGGGCTTTCAGGTGTTGAAAGTCGTTGATCTTAACCTGGTAGACAATGTTCGTCACATAACCCCCAAGAAAAAATCCACTGGCGTTAAATCTGGCGACCTAGGAGGCCAAGCGATTGGTCCACCTCTGCCAATTCATATCCCAGCCATCTCTCTGTCCAGGTGATTCCTAACATGGTGGCAGAAATGTTGCGGCGCTTGCGCGCAAGCTGGGCATGGAAAATAATCTTTCAGGGTTTTCCTTTTCGATGACATAAACCAGTTACGTGTATGGCAGTTAGTTTCCGAGATAGAATGTTTTTATTTTGGATACCTTTAATCCGGACCCCCTATATATGGCATGGCTATGATGGTTTGTCTGCTTGGATTGATACCACTGAAATTGTTTTTGTGCCTTAGGTGCGGAGGATGTGCACCGGTTCGTGAGCAACGAGACGCACATAGACTTCTTCCGATTGGTGTTACATGACGGCAACTCTCTTCTGGTTGGCGGACGGTAAGTACCGCTTCGCGCACACTCCCTTTGTTCTCTGATATGCGATGTACATGTTGTCAAGAAACCATCGCTTCGAAGCAACTGCTTTGTTCTTTTAGATCGTGACGGTTCCTGTACAACGTTGAATAATGTATGTTTGTGAATTATGAATTAGAAATGACGTAGGAGGAAGGTGCTGCGTCCTGTTTTAACGTAGGCTCAGCTACTCCAGCACTTTCAGGCAATCTCACATCCCCGGCTTCCCACCGCGGTAACCTTGGTTCGTTCCCAGGTCAGTCCTTTAGGGCTTTGTGATGGGCGAAGTGACACTGGAGCAGGTAACACGGTTTTCCCTGCCAATTATCGTTCCACCGGCTACTCACTGCACATCTGCCACCGAGGCCTGGTACAATAGGGCCACTGTAGTGTCCAACGTACCAAGTGGACTCAGTGCCTGTCAGACGGCTCCCAGCAACAGCTGCATATACTTGCTTATTAAAAATGTGTTGCCTAGCAGCGAATGTTCCGTTGTCTGTTTCGAGGTCGCTACACTGCAACGGCTCTACACGCTACACTATGTTTTCCTTATTATTTATTGTATTTTGTGGAAGACAGCCGGACATGGCGAAGCTGTCATTACTTGGAACCTCCACATAAATGGCGAAAATTTCCCTGTAGGAAACAATCTATGAAATGGAAAGAACAATAATTTATTGTTTTTTAATTTTCTTCTGATTTCTTAAATATTCGCATGTTTTGAACACAAGTTGTAGCTTGTGAAGAAGGAAGTTATTTTACGCCATGTACCGTTATTGTACGATGAACCCTTTTGTTCTGGTAGTAAAATTCGATCCATGTTAGGTGGGTCCCTTGTCGCCACGGCATGGCGCGTCCTCAGGTTGCGGATGGAGGAGACGGCCTCCAGATGTGAAGGCTAGATGCGTATGTATTGAATAAGCAGTCGCTGAAAGCCGACAAGGGGTGGTCCCCTGGCTTGGGAGTTTGGCGTGGGGCTTGTTACGAAAATTCTAAAGAAGGAGCCTCAGACCTGGACGGATTCTGTGGATAAACGCGACGATAACAAATCAAAACCTGATTCAGGAGGAAATTAAGAGCAGATTGAACTCGGGTAATGCTTGCTACCATTCAGTGCAGAACCTTTTGTCTTCTCGTCTGCTGTCCAAAAACATAAAAATTAGAATATGCGAAACTGTAATTTTGCCTGTGGTACTGTAGGAGTGTGAAACTTGGTCTCTTGACATTAAGGGAGGAACATAGACTGAGGGTGTTTGAGAACAGGGTGTTGAGGAGGATATTTGGACCGAAGAGAGATGAAGTGACAGGAGGTTGGAGAAAACTGCATAATGAGGAGCTTCATAACTTGAACTCTTCTCCAAGTATAATTAGAATGATCAAGTCAAGGAGGATGGGCAGGGCATGTAGCACGAATGGAGGCAAGAGTAATGCATGTAGGATATTGGTGGGAAAGTCAGAAGAAGAGAGACCACTGGGAAGACCAAGACGTAGGTGATTGGACAATATTAAAATGGATCTTAGAGAGATAGGATGGGATGATATGATTGATCTGGCTCAGGGTAGGGACCGGTGGGGGCTCTTGTGAATACAGTAATGAACCTTCGGGTTCCATGAAATGGTGAGAAGCTTTTGAGTAGCTGCACAATTGGCGGCTTCTCAAGAAGAGCTGAGCCCCATGAGTGAATAAAATTCGATTTAACTTTCATTCACAGTTGGGGTTTTATTGTTGTACTGATGTCAATCGGCTGTGAATGTGGATGTCCATTTCAAATTTAATCGAAATGCATTCAGTAATTTCAAACATCAGCCGTATGGCAGGCATAGAGACTGCTCTTCTGAATGGAGCGTGGAAAGGAGTGAGCAATTAAGCGGCGTGTTTGCGAGTAGAAGGCAGAAAAATGTAACGGTAATGAAGCACTCTTCAATTTAATCACTCTTACCTGCGATACCGAAGGTGCATCGGGGTAGTGCAGATAGCAATTAGCTTCCACGCGATAGTCAATTCAGGCTTTACCCGCCGTTTTAAGTGTGTGTAATTCAGGTGATCTAATGGGAAAGCTTTTGTTATATTTAGAGCGGCTGTTGATGACAAAGTAGTTTGTTTGTGTATCTGCAGTTTGCCGTTGGACGGAAATCACCCGCAGTGTTTTATTTCGATCCAATAAAGAGTATTGTTTGACGACGGCTGGGTTTGGTACATAAATCTCATTGTGGCACAGCCGGTAAATCGTGAGCGTTGAACCTCATTCATTGCACGCACCCCTTTGTGTTCTTGCTGTTACAGAAGCATAAGGTTACGGGATAGCTCAGTCGCTATAGTGACTGCCTACATGCCGGGGTTCGATTCCCGGCGGGGCCAGTGCATTTTTTTATTCATCAGCGTCCAGAACGGCTCTGGGGCTGACCCAGCCTCCTATGCAGTGGGGACGGGGGGCTCTTTCCCCGGGAATAAAGCAACCGAGCTGTGAAGCTAAACCTCCACTCCGCCATGCGTTTTCATGGCGTAGTGCTTGACTGTGTAAGCACAGGGATACCTGTACCTCATTTATAGAAGTATAGGAACTGTTCCTTCATGGAGGTTATCACGGAAATGTCTTTGTGAACTCAGTTTGCTGATAGCTTTTGCCAATAAGTTGGTACGCGTTCTTTGTTGAGAGAATAATTGTTACACTTGACTTAATTCCTATTGTCGCCTGTGTGGGAGCAAAGGGCTTCCACGAAGCTTCTCCGGCGACTTCTGTACGCTTACAACCTCTTCACCTCTCTCAACATCCTTTCTTTTTTCCGTGCCTCTTCCATAACTACCTTCTCCAGGTCTTCTTTCGTCTTCCTCTCTTCCTCGTGCTCTGGGGGTTCCAATTGTTACTCTGCTCACCTGGAAAACATCCTGAAGTTTTGCCGTGGCATTCACAGATGCCGCTGTTGTATCATGTCTCGAGCCAGTTGTATTTTGTCAGTATATCTCGAAGATCTGCTCCATTGTGACCCATCTACATGCAGATCTCGCAAATGGCCTATCTCGTGCGCTGTGCCTGTGCCTGTCATTGTCGTGTAAGCCTTTCTCATCTTGCCCATTCATGCCACATTCTCGTCTGTCCTGATTATATTTGTATTTTTGGCATACTTTCCGAATTTTGAAACAAGAAGTTATTGGAAGAACTAATGGCTTGCTTTCCTTTGACACGACACGGACCCCATAGAAGACCCCAAAAGTGAGAGGAGCGGGCAGACACACATACAGAATGCAGGATGCTCTCATAAGCCTCCATCTATTTCTTCAAAATACGGAAAATTGTCTAAAAAGGAGGCTTATGAGGTCGCCTTACTGTCTGTGTATCCCCCCTAATTTTGTTGTTGTAAGAAGAGCAGGCGATTGTTTCATCTAAGAAATTCCTGATATATCCTCCTTTTTCTTTCTCCTTCGTCGATTTTATGCGCGTGAGGCGAACATTTTGACCGCCTCTGTGGTCTAGTGGTCAGAGTTCCTGCCTACAAATCCAGAGGTATGGGTTCGTTTTCCGGCGCTACCAGATTTTCTGAGAAGTAGTGGGTCTGGAACGGGGTCCACTCAGCCTCGTGAGGATAACTGAGGAACTATTTCAAGAAAATAGCGTCGTTGGGATTCGTTGCGCTGGCCGCGTGACACGCTCTATCCGCTAAATTTGACCATGGAGTTTTTTTTTGAGGCGAACATTTTACGCAGTTGTTACATTGAAAAGCAATTTCAGGGTTCCCATGACAAAACAGTGTTTCATAGCCATGATTTTTGTGGCCCAAACACACAACGAAGTTGTCGTCAAACCAGACCGGACCTGTGCTGTTTGCATGGACCTCGTGTCCAGGCGCGATCATGTTTAAATAAAAACCCTCTAATCTGGGGGAGCATTTTAATCAGGAAAGGATTACGGTTTCAAACGCGATAATGACTTGTTAATGACAGGGGGGGCCTCTTATTAGCATGCACATGTGAGGACTGCTAATTAGAACTTGCTACACTCTGTCACATAATATGGCACTAGACTATTGCAGCTTCAAATAGCATTTCACAAAACAAATGAAACAATGCACATTTTGCTTCTATAGAAGAGATGAAACTATTGGATCATAGTTACTATTCACTGGAAACAGTAGCATCCTTTAACGTTTGAAATCTGATATTTATCTCGAAACTCGATAAAGGAATTGAATTGAATGGTTGAGAGATTTTTGCTCGTGTTTCATATTAGGAAGGTCCCGGGTTCGGATCCCGGAGGCTGTCTATCCTGACGGAGGTTTTCTCGATTTTTGTAGACAAAATGCTGTTATATGCTGGTGATGAAATCGGTCTCAGCCTGTTCTTCATCTTTTCTAATTGATCATTTGCAGCCATTACTTGGCATCATGTACCCAGTGGAGTTGAAAAGCTTCTTTAAATTACCCGAGAACAAATCACTCATCAGATTAGTGGCTTCAGATCAGCATGACACGTAGAATTGTCACATGGTTCAGAGTTTACAGGAATATTGTCGGAAAGCTTTTGTTTGTTCCTGTATGACACATTTTAAAATTTGCGACTTGTTAGTTCGGATTCAGTCCTACAGATTGCAGCATCAACTGATGACTGTGCTTAAACTGCGCTCTCTTTCGGCAGAAATTTATGGAACGTTTTGAACGGCATATCGGGGTATTTGAAATCGATCGGGGTCAATCTGCTTATGAGTTATAAAGGCTGCGCTTATGACGAGTTATTATGAATACCTTGCTCCATACGCGTTGGAAATGAGGCTGTGTCAGGCCTACATTCTTTAGTTTTTATCAAGAAATCAAAGCCTGTTGAATTTTTTATCGCATGTCATACACTGACTTTCCTAAGTAATGATTTACAGTTGATATTTGCCGAAGTGCGAAATTTATGCATAAACAACGGGTGTTTTCTAACGAGAGGAAAATTATATATAGTAGTATTTCTTCTGTTTCTGTTTTGCTTCCTGAATCTTGGAAATGAT